GAGAATTCTATCGTGGTTATCTCAGATCTTTAATAATGCTCTCATTCCTCATAATACCAATAAAGTAGGGATAATTAAAATAATCATATAAATGCCAGGAGCTGCACCAAACGAGAGCTGATTACCAGATGGGAACTGGACTGTGCCAGTACTTTCATCTAGTCATAGAGAGAATGAAAATATGATAATAAATTAAAACAATGTGATGAGTTTCCCATGAAATGAATACATTCAATTTAAGAAGCTGCCATTTATTCTGAGATTATAGCCATGCCATGTTGCTAACATGAATTCCGCTTTAAATAGTGCTGCATTAAACATCAGAGTGCAGTTTCCTTTTGAATTAGTGTTTTTGTTTTCTTTGGGTAGATTCCTAGGAGTTAATTCACTGAGTCATATGGCAGATTCACTTGAGGAACCACTTTAATGATATGATGTTGATGACTTTTTCATGCCCTTTCAGTCAAATGAAGATTTTGTCATCTTATGTTGTTGTTGTTATTAATATTATTATTATTACAATTTTATGAAAGAGGAAATTCAGCCTCCCAGAATTTATTTCAGTTGGTCCAAAGCACCTAGTTAGAAGTGGAGAGCCAGAAACAAACCCTCAGCCACCTCATTTCAGTGCTCATGCTTCTCATCACTGAGCTATTCCTGTGTACATGTTAGGGGAGCAGAAGCCATTCTAGTATTTTAATCAGAGTGTATCTAATGAAGGGGTTGGGAGAGATGGGTCATCAAATAAAAGAGGAGAATCAACCCAGAGATTTATAACATCAGGAAAGCAGGGACTAGAGAGATACAGAGAGAAGGTGGTGCTCCCATTTGAGAAAAGCCATCTGGATGGATTCGGGCTGACTGGGGGCAAGCTGATGCTTAGGTTAGGGAGCAAAGAGCATGGAGGGAAGAATTAGAATTACTGCTAAAGATGCTACTTGAAGCAGAAAGAGAAGAGAGAAAACAACCTGGCTTCCTCCATCGTCTTACCCTCCATTCTTTGTCAGTGTCTCCTATTAGCCAACCTGTCCCAGAAACTAGAGAAGACAGATACTGAGAACTGTATTAACTTGTGAAAAAAGGGAAGATGAAAGGGAATGGTGGGAAATAGATATGAGCGCAAGCTGTGAGCAACCAGTACATTCTGGCATAAATATGTATGAAATTATTTCACTGTACCTTTGACGATGACAGTGATGTCTACAGATGTCAGGAGAGTCTCTCTTTCTGAATGAACTTTGTAGCAGAGGGTGGCAGAAAAAATAAGGAGAAAATTTTAGTCTTGTCTTAAACTGATCTTTGAGTATTTTAGGCTCTATAGGGATGACTGAAATAGAACTTCTGGGTCAAATGAAGTGGAGGTGCACAATTCTGGGTATCATTGTATTGTTTTTTCTCTCTGGCTGCTGTCTCCTCTCTCCAAAGGAACACTCATTTTCTATCTACGCCCCCTCCCATGCTCAGATTTGAAGTTGGGATGGACAGTTCCATCTTTATGGGCTGGGATGAATAGTGAATATGACCCCACACCCCTTTTCCATTTGGAGAGAGAGATTCTCCTCACTGTGTCTTTGGGAGGAGGTTGAGGGCGAAGCAAGGACCGCTGAGTAAATAGGCCAGGTAAAGCTAAGAAATTATAGGACAGTTTCTCAATTTGTAACTTTTCCGCTTGTAACTATTAAAAAGAGAACACTCCCTTTCAGGCCACATTTCCTACCTTATGTGAAGTTCAAGGTCAAATTTGACTTCTGCTGTACTGCTGTAATTGTCTCAAATGCAATTTACATCTGTTTTTGTTTTTAGTAATTGCTTTATTCTTTTCAAAATCATCTCATTCCTTCACAGGGTGAAGGAAAGAACAATTAGAAACCAGATGTTGTAGTCACTATAACCATTATCCTTTATTGGCTCCCAAAGAGGTTTAATCTCTAGCTATAAACAGGTGAGGAAGGCACTAGCTTCCCTCTCAGCTTTACCTTCTAGGATGTCTGAGAGAGGGTGGGGAAGGCCATCCACCTGCCATAATGACCCGGGGAATTTCATAATTGTGTCGAGCCCAATTTCATAATTGATTCAACCTCATCAGCAAATATTTTGTGATAAACCATTTAGTGTCCCTCCCAAAGTGAAATTTGTAGTTAATACTGATGTACATAATTTCAACAAAAATCAAAATAATGCCTGAACTGTAATATAAAATGAGAACTATTCTATTAAAATAAAATAACATGCCGGATAAGATAGATGTACTTAGCACAACTCTATTAAAAACATAATGAAATGGTCAGATACTGAGTCCTCTGCAGAGAGCCATGAACGTGACAGCTGAAGTTGACTGACACAGGTGATGAGTGGAGAGATTCAGGTGATGGTCAGCTTCCCCACTGGTGTTTTCCTAAACAGTGGCTCAGACCTGCTAAAGTTCCTGACAATATAAACTACAAACTTCCCCTTGAATAATGTAGTAATTGCTTCCTCAGAAACTTCAGCCTATATTAAAATCATGCAATTTTTTTTTTGTTTATAAATAAATTGGAGTTGTAAATTATAAGTAGGTTCATCACCTGAAAAAAATGTTTGGAGCCCTTACCTGTGCCTAATAAATGCCAGTAATACCCTCTTCAATTGTAGTGACAATCCCACAGCTCCCAACAATTTTCCAAAATGCCCTCTGGAGCCAGCACTGTAGCTATTGGAATCCACTAGCATGTGCTAACTGAGGCACTTTTGAAGAGTAGGGACTACCAGAATATGGGACTCATGAAATTTTGGGTTGTGAGTCCACATTTTGTCTCTGGGAGCCTTGAGACCATACTGACTTTTGATAAGCTGCCAAGAGAAAAATCAGTGAATTTTTTCCAGGGCTTCTGGAAAGAGTCTTTATGATCAGCCTCTAGTTTTACTGGCTTGGAAATGGTTTATTCCTGGATGGTATCAGGACCCAAGATAACCCCTGTGTCCCTGTAGTGTCCTGAGGTGGCTGATGTTATGTACACTATGAGAAGGGCTCTCAAGAACTGACATTGCAGTGTAAGCAAGTGGGTGCATGGCCGTGGGGAATGTGGAACGGCCAGTTGGATATGTGCTGGTTGGACAAATGTGCTTATCTGCATGAATAATGTTAAACTCAAAGGTAGAGTTAGCTGTGTTTCTGCCTGTAGCATGTAAAACTAAATTGGAACAAAATTGCATCAGTCAAAATAAGGAGTTATTCTTATGTCTTGATTGGACTATGATTGGTAAAGTAGAAAAAAATGCAGGTTTTGTATCCTCAGGCCCAGGTTGGAACTTGCCCTGCCTGCCTATAACCATCGGTGAGTTAAATAGTGTTTTTGAGCATCTATTCCTTCATTTGTAAAATGGGTCCTAAAATAGTGGCCAACTCCTGGATTTTTATGAGGACTAATGAAATAATTTAGGTAAACTACTTGGCAGTTACTGACCTGTAGTAAATACTCAGCAAATATTCACCATTGTTGTTGTTGGGGTGATGGTGATCGTTAATGATACATATCTTATAGGAAGGGGAAAAATAGTACTTTTTAAAAAAGGCTGTAATTTGACCTAGATGACCTTGAAGAAAGGCAGAATTCCTTTTAGCACCAGAATTTCTCTTTTGTTTTGGGGAAAAAAAACACATTTTAGATATATTCAATAATAAAAGGTGAGCAGACCTTGTCCCCATCCCCATCCTGGGCAAAGCTGTGTTGGAGGAAGTCTGCCCTGCAAAAGAATAGAATTGGTTTCTAGCAAGTTTGTTTTAAGGGAGAAGCTGAAGGGTTAGTTTAGAAGTGGTTCCTGGGGGAGGTTGTAGACAAGAGGGAAGGGTTTTATTAAGATGACAGAAGTAGCAGCTAGAAATTCCCTGGTGGATTTTAGTACCAGTGATGTTTGGCATGAATTGGCAGCTGTTTTTTGTATGCTTAATTGACTCCCACTTTATCATCCACTAAACCTTCTGTGAGAGACGGTACTTAGATTAATTAACCAAACGTGAATGAAAATGAGTGTCCGGAGTGGCGAGGAGAGAGAAGCCACACAGACAGAAGAGCCAGGCCACAGGACGTATGAGGTGTTAAACGCAAACAAGAGGAGGAGGCCTGAGAAATGTTAGCCCAAAGGAGACCACAGAAGTCTTTGAGGGAGCCCAGTTGGAAATGATGGTGAGTTGCATGTGGGAAAATGATGAAGAGAAGGTAATTATTATTTCCTTAAAGCAAAGCATAAAATTTGTGACCGTTTTCACTTTTGGGTGACTTTCCAAAAAGCTCATGGAGGGTTTAAAAAAAAAAAACAACCAGGAAAATTAAACATAAAAGGAAAATAGAATGAGATGCTTTTAAACATCAAAAGGGAACAACAAGGTTACTAATATTGTCACTTTGTGCATCTGCAAATGCTCTGAGCTCAATTTTCATGGTATCTATTCAATTCGTGCCATAATCAGAAAGGTTTATTGGAGCAGAAACTTAATGCTGAGAGATCACATTCTTATAAAATCGTTGGCTATGGGATGGAGGTGATTGCTACTTGTACATTATGTACCCTGTATGATAGATGGAAGTGATTACTACTTGTACATTATGTACCCTCTATGATAGAACATTTTTCCCCAAATGCTTTGTGTCTTGGATTGTAACTTGCTGTTGGGCTTGAGAGAATGGGGTCAGTTACTTAAACCTGCTTTATTGTTAATGCATATGTTATACAATTCATACATCTCTTAGTTTGTAGAAGTTCTCTGAAACAAATGTATTTTTAAATATAATCTATAAATGCCATAAGATATCTCCATTCTGGTATATGTTAGTTTCATTTTTGAGAGGTAAGATTTCATGTTTATTTGTTGCAGTGAGCTTAATTAATGAAAGTGCTGTTTAACAATAGAATTCTTCAGGAATGACACATTACAACGACGTCCAAAAGAATCAATCAAAAGAACCAATTAATCAAACATGATCGATTTTAATGTAATTACTAAAGAAAGATATATCATTTTATTATGATGCTTTAACCATACATTTTCAAAATATGCTTATTAAACAGTAAATGTAAGATAATGATTCAGTTAGTTACATTTTTAGAAGTCATTAGGATTGATATTTCTCTGCCATAAATGGATTGAATAATAATTTCAAATACAATCAGAGTTAATTTAATAAAAATTATGCTTCTGAACTAAGACATAATGAATGGCCAATCATTATTTTCTGATTTCAAAGTGGTAGGGAAAATTAATTCAGTGTCTGTAAGTTCCTTTGTCACACTTGGCCTGTAAGTGCGACGAAAACATATAGAGCAAAACACATGATGTAATCCCACTTCTTGTAGTTCATTAACTCTTAGCAAAGAGACATCAGACAGAGTCTTTGGGACCTTTATGTAAACTGAATACAAGCTGCATGATGTTGGAAAGTTTTTTGATATTATGAATAGACATTGTAATAATATACAGACATGATAAGAGATGTGAGTAGATGACTGGCTTGAGGTCTGAGAATCCCTCTTGCAGTGTGTTTAGCAGCAGGTACAAGATAAATATCCAAACAGAATCAGATTAAGGGATTAACAGAAGTGACTTTGCTATGGGTGGGTGAGAAGGGTAAGTGGGTGTCTTGGGAGGGATTTTAGAATTTCCTACTTTAACATCAGAGCATTTTGGGTAAAAGAGAATGAATAATATTTAATTTTAGGATAGAGTAGCCTGGGCAATTAATAAAAAAACAGATTCTAAGGATTGTGAAAGGTTGTTTTGAAGGTGACAGGTCTCAGCGGGGTTAAGTAAAAGAAACTATCTTCATCTTAACTCAAATTTCAGTTGGGCAGTAACATTTGGACTTTTGTGTTCTTTTTCAAATTAAAATTCTTTTCCTTGAAAGGCCATATCAATGACAGCTGAAGAATGGGGAGAAAGTGGGACCATGTTAACATCATGTGGACTCATAAATTAAGAGAAAACATGTGAATGGCCCTTACAGTGGTCTCATATCTAGAGCTTCAGCTTGGTCAGTCCTATGTAAAATTTTGAGCCAGATACTAAATGAATAGAGACTGGGAGGAAGAAAGACAATTTCAAAAATCCCCTGGACCTCTGTATTATCTATGAGAGGTTTCCTTAAAAAAAAAAAAAAAATCTTTCACTCCAGACACCACTGGGGTATTTAAATTGATATCTTTATCCTGTACCATACGCACTTAAAGCTTCAGACAATCTTTTCATCTCCTTTATTTTTTTTAAATATAAATCACACACAAAAAAGTATTCTATGTATCAGTTTCTAATACCTAACAGGAAGGTCTTTTAGGATATTAAAATAGCGATAAGCAAATATGTACTATATGATTAAACACTAGCATTGAAAACAAACAAATAAATCCAAAACAAAGAATCAACAAAATTTTCCTCTTTTTTTTTTTTTTTGCCCCCTCAGATTCTGGATTTTTGATTATTGCAGGAGTGAGGCATAAAGAATCACAATTCTTCTATTTTAAAATTTTGAGATAAATGATGACATAATGATGTAAAAATCAAATTTGTCTTTTGAAAACATCCTGATGGGGAAGTCCAGGTGATTTGAGTGGGAATTCTCTTTCTTATCACAAGAGTCAAACAGGATCTGTTTCTAATAAATTAGTACAATCTTTTAAGATTAAAAATAGCAAAAACATTTTAAATAGTCTGATTATAGCTTCAACAAGTCAAACATACATTTCTATCTAGCCTATAGTTTTAAAGAGTCTATGTGGATTTAACTTATCATCCCTCATTCCAATATAAAAAGAAGAAAGAACCAAGTCATTTTTGAACATTAAGATATTCATAAAGACTGTATAAAGTAAAAAACGGAAAAAAAAAACAAAGAACAAAACAAAAATATCTTCACAGATTGTTAGCCATCTCTTTCAACAATTTCTCATAAATTCTTCTCTTTCCTTATCAGTAGATAACCCCCATCTCATAAGGAAATACTTTTCAGCATTTACCAGTGAGATCAGTGATTGCTTTTTATGAGAGCTTCTGCTCTTTGAGATGTTTAGATGAAGGGAGACTATCTGTATAAACCAGTAAATGCCAAAGAATTACTCAAGGAGGGTGTGGCAGAAGCTGTTTTTAGCAGGTGAATCTGTGTATTTTTTTCCTTTTTGTTTTTTTTTTTCTCCATTTGCTGAATATCTGTCTTAGGGCAGAGAGCACAAAAAATCAGTAATGTAATGATCTTTTTCTTCTGCCATTTGCTGATGAGTTTTTTTTTTTTTTCCATTGCTGTTCCGTGCTCTTGATCAAGGTGTACAGATCAGATAATATATTGCTAATTTTGCTGAGTTTGAGAGCCAACAAATTAATGCAACCTTCAAACGTTAAAAAAATTTCCATCTTCTGCCCCTGCACCCCCCAACTCATAATTTGGTGGACAGGATGCTACTGGTGAGTGATAAAATGTTGAAAGGTAGTGGTGGCTAGACCTAATGCTATTTTATTAAGCCATCTATCTATAGATTTGTTGTTTTCATACTTTAAAAAAATATGTCTATGCTTTCTTTTTTTCTTTTTTTCTTTTTTTTTTTTTAGTCAAGTACTTTCTTAAAGAAACAATAGCACCACATTGGCATAGCTGGCCAAACAATAAATGGGAAAGCAAAATGTGCTACATCTTCCATTTTAAGCGTTCTCCCAAGTGCAAAACCTAGTTATAGAAGCTCTGAAGCCACAGTGCATGAGTTAGTTTTATCTACACAAATATTGACATTCTACGGAGGGGAAGAATTCTCAAGGGAGGCCAGGCTTTTTATTTCTTTAATAAGATTTTTCAAAGAAGTGATTTTTTTTCTCAGTTTCTGGTGGACTCTCAGAAGAGTGTGAATTTGACTCTGTGTGTGTGTGTGTGTGTGTGTGTGTGTGTGTGTATGTGTGTGTGTAGGGTGGGTTTGGGGAGAGTTTTCTTTATATCCAGAGGAGCTGTTTCTGGTAGAAAGATGCATTAGGACTCCACTCCTTCAGTGAAGTCCCCTCATTTTAAATTGTTCAAATAATATTAGGATATTAGTTGGGGAATTATTCCATATTGTCAGTTCAGGTGGAAATAAGCTGATGAGCTGAAATCTCTTTCTTACCAATATTTACACTTCTTTTACAAACATTTTGAAATACCCTCATTTTAAAACTCTAAAGCAAAACTTATAAGGTTTCAAGTTGTGAGCTTACAGATGCTCCTGGCTGTCAATCCTGGGTCATTTTGCTGTAGGCATCATTTTGTCAATCCTGCTCATTTTGCTATAAGAGTCAGCTGAATTTTGGAATGCATATCAATTTGCTTTCTTGTTTCAATGTACTTGAAAAGAAGATAGTTGGTTCGTATAATTTGTTAATTTTTAATTAGTTGATTTATGATTGATCCAGTTGGGGATCATGTGTTGGAAAAAGTTAAGAAAGACAATGTGATTTTGCATATGGAAGTTTTCCTTACTGGGGCATTTTGGCTATGAGTAGAATTTTTAAGTAAATGAAATAAGCCATAGACACTCTTAGAGTTACCATATCCAACAACATCTGGAACTCCTGCATCTGTAGAAGATTGCATGTAAAGTGTGGCAAGGAGTCAGTGACTTTAAAAGATACTCACCAGGAGAAAGAAATAAAAATCAGAGGGGTCCAATATCTCCTTTCAACAGAACCCCTTTGGGAGACAGGGATTAGAACAGCATTGAGCATGCTGAAGGGGCCCAATTCAATGTTGTACATAGAATGCCTAATGACTGAGCAGGGGTACCCCACTAAATGAGATCTTCCTTTTGTCTGTGTTTGTAGATCCAGGAAGTTGCTCTTCCCCAACCCCCTGGTCTCTGAATCTTAAAGAGAGGCGGTGGGATGAAAGCTAAAGGTGTCATTTTTGCTTTTCTTTTGTTTCCTATACACTTTCCAAGAATGAAAGAGATAAAATTTGTATAAAATAATCAAGCCTGGGGTGCGAAGGCAGATAAAATCATCTGAATGGTGGGTGACTCATTGTTCTAATAAAATCTTGATTTGGAGACAGGAAGCATTTTTAGGGCCACCATGAGCCCATCTCACCACTGGCTGCTCTTGATATCAATTGTCATTTGAACGGGTAAGACGACCCTTCATCCGCAGAGGGCAAGACACCACTCTCCCAAGTGGACATGAGGGAAAATTTTGCCGCTCAACTAGCAACTCTAGTCAAGTGTATTTTAACAAAAAATTAAAAAAATAATATGTTTATGTATATACAGCCCAGATAAGAGTAAAATTCATTTAAGAAGGTAATTTTGTGACTTTTTATTAGATATTATTTCAGCATTTTAAAAGTTAGAACTTTTTTTTTTAAGATAACCTTACAGAAGGAATAGGTGTTTTCAAAGGAATAGATTATCATTTATAATATTAAAAGAAGTATTACAAGATTCCTAGTAACTGCCAGGAAGAGTTGGTCAGTGCTAACAAATGGTGTAATTTAATCACTCTTGTGTGTAGAAATCTTTTTTCCCCCTCCTTTATTCCTGCCTTTTCTCTCTTTTTACTTTGTATTCATGAATCTGAAGGCAGAATTCAAAATCAAATTGTACATCAAATGTTTCTGACTTACTTTCAAAAGTGTTTTAAAAGAGAGTTGACCTGTTAACTCTTACCAGCGGGTTAGTTGGGTAGTTGGTTGGGCATCTGCTCTGACAAGAATTAGCATGCCAGGGCCATTTGACTGATCAGTTCTGTAGCTGTGCTGTGGAGGGTGTGTTTATAGAACTCCTTTGCATCTCAGCAACTCAAGGGCTCTGACCTTGAACTCTCATAGCAACCCAGGATAAAAAGCTAGACTTCATCTTTTTAATCCTCATACCACCCCTTTGAGGTAGGTAGATGGCATATTGCCTCCATTTTGCAGATGAGGAAACTGAGGCACAGAGAGGTGAAGTGACTTGCCCAAGATCACACAGTAGTGAGTCCACGGCCAGGCTGGCAGATGTTTGTTTCCTCAGCAAGAGAAAGAAACCAGGACTGTGAAGATTCCTAGCCTTCCCCTTTTCTACTCCTCTGGACTCACCAAATTTGCACCTGTAGACATCGTCATGTCTTAAGTTTCTCTTGAAAGGCATCATGGGGGAACGTAGCCTTCTTTCCCAAGTGGATGGATTCTCAGTACCTTCCCCTCTGTGTCATCTTTGGCTCCAGGCTTCCTCTTTTGTTTTGCTTTCACCTTTTACCGTTTTGACCAGACTCTTTCATATAACAAACTACAAAATAGCACCATTGTACTAAAAAACAGAATTTTACATACTGTTTGATATATCCTGTAGTATGCTAAATTTACATAGTGCTCTATATGGAAAAAATAAACAGAGAAGTCACTAATCAGGTTGCACAAAAACTCATCATTTGAAAGAACCCTTGAGAATTTGAGACTTTCTGTGCTTAAAACATAAGCCCGAAAATGATTGGCCTCAAAGTTGCAACTATTTGCATTTTTTTTTTTTTTTGGCAAGATGTGGAAAAATAAAGCTTTGTGTCTAAAATAAATGGGCCTACTTATATTTGGTACAAATGCCATGATGGAGTCTTGTGGGTTAAAAACTGGTGTGCTACTTTGCTTGCCACTGCTATGGAGGAGGCCAAATTTGGCAAATATAAAAGTGATGGAGGTGAGAGAGGATGGCAGTGGTGGGAGAGATAAACAAGGTTATCAGACACTGTTAAACAATAGCCTGTATTGTGTAGAAGGAAGTGCAAATAAAAAAATTAACAAACCACTCATACAAGGCTGCTGAATGAATGGCTCCAGCAGGCAAGATTCAGAGACAAATTTAGTGCAACTGGATCTCTACAATACCCATGCATTTGTGGCTTTTGAGAGGCAGGGACTAATACATATATATGTATATAGATGCCTATATCTATATACATATGTATATTTTTTTCTCTATAGAACATTATTGATAAAGGATCAACAGCAATCTACCAACTCCAGGACCATTTTTGCAAGGTGCAAAACTTTTAACAATCACTCCTAAAGACAAGGTTGGAATGTTTACTTGCGTATTTCATTGGGGGGAATGCCCATCTTTCTTTTGAAATGTTATCAATCTTATTTTTTGGTAGGTCTTCTGGTGTTTAACAGGTAACTCGTGCAGAGCAAAGGGTCCTGCCGGTGGCATGTCATTCTTCACTCTTCAGAAAGGTCTTCCTACATTCTGTAGGTCTTGTTTCCTGCACTCCCTCTACTTGCGTTCTTCAAATGCACTTCCTAAAAAGAAGGAAGAAAACATTAACTTGATGGGGTTTTATGGACCTTAGAGATCACTAAGACCCTAGACCTAAAGAGGTTGAGACGTTGGGGTGGACTCAACGACAATTCCTGGAAATGTTGGGGGGAAAGGATGTCCTGAACAAACTCCACAAATAGGTTTTATGGACCCTACCCCCCACTCCAGACCAAAGCAATCCAAGACACCAAGGACTAAAGATCCAAAATGTCATCACCACTGAAGGAAGGATTGCTGGGAACTGAGGATGGAGTTAAGGATCCAGGCTTGGTATGTAACAAAACATGTAGGCCTTGGGGTCCCCTGAAAGTTTTTCAATTTCAGCGGGCTATTGGGGTTCCAGCTTAGTGGAAATGGTAGGACACATTCACCAATTTTTCTCTCTCTTTCTCCCTGAGTTATTCATTTCTTCATTTCTCCTTTTTGTAAATAAACCCTTTATTACCCTTTTGTGTGTACCTGCAGTTAAGTCTCATTATAAGTCCCTTTTAAGTGTGTGAGTGAGGACCCACAGTTAGGCCAACCCAGTTCACTTTGGGGTTGCCCTGTAACAGAAATAGTACATGTATTTTCTTATTTGTGTTTTGCAGTTCTACCTGGAATAGTATCACTAAGTCCTTCATAAAAGCTCGTTAGCACTTTTAGGAATGGACAGTCAATATCCTGTATGGACTTAATAGAAGGAAAAGGGCATTATTGTAAAAAAAAAAAAAGTTTTATTAAAACATCTTGCTTAGTGCCCCTGGAAAAAGCTGGTGGAAAGAAATCAGAAATTTGTAGCATAGCTTGAAATACCATCTGTTTAAGATCTTGGTACTTCGCCCCAAAGATCATGGGGTGACATGTACAATAAGGTCACTAATTTCCTTGAAACATTTCATTTCTCAACTGACCCTGTTGATGAGAGTGTCCATCAAGGTTCCCTAATGGGTGTTATGAAGGATACCGCCTCTCTGCAAAATTTCTAGCCACGTTAACTAAGAAGTATAAAAACACACTGAGAAAGTTTTGAGGTTTTTTTTTTTTCTGTTTAAGTAGCATTCCAGCTAGAAAAAGAAGGTTTTTTTAGAATCAGGGTAATTTTTAAACTAGGAAAATACTTAAGAATGAAATGGTGACACATTTTTAAGAAGTCACATAAGTGTTTAATTTCTAGTTCTCTTCTCAAACCCAATTAATCTCAAATTTCCAGAAGAAAAAATTTCAGGTATCTCCTATGCTTCTCTCTTCAAATTCATAAGGGCTATAGCAAAAAGGATTGAGTTAGATTGGCCGACCACATAGAACTTATCCTTTGTCCCCAACAGAAATCTTCTATTTTCTTTACTCTCAGAGCAGAGGTATAAAGTGTAGGGTCTGCGCAGAGGCATCCTCTGTCCTCTTTCTGCTGGGTCTGTCTCAGCACTGCTGCAGAGTCAGGGGCAGAAACGAAATGAGTAAAAGCCCAGGCTGCTCTGCATAACACGGCTCCCGTGCACACACGCTAAGGTGGAGGCCATTCAAAACCAGCTGGGGTGTCGTCTGGTTTGCATTTGGCTCTCTTCCCAGGCTCTCACATGTGACTTCTTTGTTGCACACAATGACAGTGACAAAACAAAAGCACTCAGGGGTTTGGTCTCTGTTGCATCTGTTACTTTGCTCATTGTCTTAATTTAATTACGCTGGAGGCCCTTGACAATGGGTGGCAAGTGGAGGCATGCAGGAGCAGCCCCTGGGCTGGCACCCACCTGCAATGCACTTCTCGAAGGGTTATGAAACTGTCCCACATTCAGCCAAGCAAAAACTTTTCACTTCAACAGCTTGTCCAAGACAAACAAACCAGCTAAAACTGTTCCTAGTATGCAACTAGACAGATTTCTGAAAGGAAAACAGTAGTGAGTAAATACTGTTTTCTATTGACACCAGGGAAGGTAAGAGTATTATAAAAAATGTCTATCCTCTCGCTTCCCCGGGTCGGCTGAGGAAATGGATCCTCTGGAGGGTTTGCCAACTGATCATTGAGAAAGATTTAACTTTGATTTATATTATCACACAATTCATACCATACATACATAAAGGATTCATTCACATTCTCTTGTTATCTCCTGACTCTCATTTTAACTCCTGGTTTTCCAAAGCTATCCACAAACTTCTTGATTAATAAGATCACTGAGAGCTAATAACAATGGCAATGATAATAGTCTTGATGAACACGTGCACACACTTCACACAGTCATCTTCCCAAATCCACACAACTACCTTATGAAGCGATGTCTTACGCATCTGTCTCAGACAATCTGAGTCTCGCTAAGATTTAGTGACTTGCTTGAGGTCACAAAGGAACAAGCAACAAATTGATAGACCCGGGACCACAATAAAACAATTATTTTTATAAAATAACTATCTCATCACTTGGAAGTTTCACATGATGTACTGGGCACAGTGTTACTTAGGTTAACTGCATATGTTTTCTTGTTTCATCCTCATGGTTCACTTGGAGATGTATCTTAATGTCTTGCTCATTTTACTTTTAACAAATCAGAAGGCTAGAAAATCCAAGCAACTTGCCTAATTTCTTGCAGTGGAGTCATGATTTTGCTGGGGAGCTATACCAGTTGGTTCTGATTCTGGAACTCCCCAGTTAGTCATTCTGCCCTTACTGCCTCCCAAATGGTAAACAATATTGGGTGACTCAATGTCCAAATCTTGTTCGAATAACTATAATTGATAATGTCACAAGCCTCCCCTGATCCCAGATGGTGGTAGATCTAATTTAGAGCATTAGGCAAGCCTCTAGACTAGGGACTGGGTGCTCTCCCTTAGCCCCAGCATGAGCTGCACCCCACTCTATGGTCATTGCTAGAAATCTAGCAGCCCAATACTCAGCTAATCCTATAGATATTATAAGCCTTTCTTTTCTCCCCTTTATCTTTATGAGATTTGGCCTGAGAGAATCTAAAGGAAGGATGAAAATAGACTCTTTAAATTTCAGGCAGGAAGCAGTGATGTTTTCAACAGACTAAGTTTCCACTCCCACCCACTCCAAACAAGTTAAGTATTGTGTGATATAAGGGCTCAGAGAAGTCTGGCACCCTATAAAAATGTGGGGAAAATATTGTCCACCACAGTACAGTAGCAGCCTTAGAGTGCAAAATGGGGTGGGGGAGTGAAGAACAGTGGCTGATAGGAGAGATGATGCAGGTGTCAGTTCTTTACCTGTTGAAAAGGATGTGTTCTCGCTAATTTTCTGGACTGGCTGTGGAGGAGATTTAGACATCTCAATTATCAATGTTGATATCTCTCCTTCAGAGAATTATCAGTTCACATTTTAGGAGAGTTAGATTGGCCTTTTACCTTGGGGAGCCAAGCATTGTGTTGTGATCTACGTGAGCTTTGGGATGTGACTTTTAAAACCAAAAGACAAGGTGTGTCTCTGGAGAGACTTGTGCACCTGCTCCAGTCGGAGGGGCTGGTTCTTTGCCTAAGAGAGAGGTAGGTAGATCGGACACAGTGTTGGTCTGTCTAGCTTCTTGTCTTTGTTTTTCCTGCAAACTATCTTGCCCTACCTTCTAGTTCTGGTTATGGTGGGAATGGTCATTTTCCCCATGATGATGCTCCCCTCCGGCCATAGTGAAGGGGTTCAGGACACAGCTGTCTGCCAGGTGCAAGACTGGTTGCAGCAGGGAAACTGAGGCAGACCCATTTCTGGGAAAGACTAGACTCCTTCACTGCCCTCTGAGGACTCACCTCAATGGCTTTGCTGAATCCTCCTCAGCCTGTCAGCAGTCTAGCAGGCTTCTCCCCACCATCTCTTCCTCTCCCTTTCACTTTCTTAAATTTCTTGCCAGAATTTCCTTTTCCTTTTCTTTCTTTTTTTAAATTAATAAAGTCAATTATTTTATATACTTGCTGGTTTTTCCAGTCTAGGTTTTCCTCCCTCAGGTGTGGTCACCATAGTTTTCCTACCACAGAGCACCCAGAGTCCTCCACCATCGTTGGCCTGACGTTGTATTCTCACAGCTTGCCCAGACTTCCCCACCCTTTCTTTCCTACATTCTTTCACGCAAGCATTTCCCCTAATAGAATCCTTGCTCACGTAACCTACTCTCCTCTCTGCCTCTTGGAGGACCTCGGCTGGTACACTTGGCTTGGATCCCAGTCCCCACAAGGAACTGTGGCACCTTCCACAAGTGCCGCTTTGCTCTTTCCTTCTCAGCTTCCTCTTCTGGAAGATGACAGGGTGGGAGAACATCATTCGTGCTGCAGGTGCTCACCCTCACACACTCACAGGGCACGGAGAGGTTTCCACAGTGTGTACAAGAATTGACTGTTTTGAGAGCCCTTGTGAACTTGATTTTGTGAACTTGATTGTTAGCAAGGTCAGTCTGTTCTGAATTCTGTGCTGTTGAGTCCACGTTGGGTCTACTTTCGTTAGAGCACTGATATGCTATAGGGTAAATTTTGTGCATATTTGTTCCACCACTATAAAGTCAGCTTCTGGAGAGCAGGTAGCCTGGTTTCTGCACCTCTGCACCCTCCCACATGCATGGTGCTTTGCAAAAAGCAGCACATTAGAAACTGCTTGTAAAATTGATTTAAATGTCCTGCAGGAATGGTGGCAGAAAGCTTAGGTCGGCCGCAAGTCTTGCACTGCTTCCTATTTCCTGCTGTCCTTTGCATAATGACCAATAAATAGCTTAGAGCTCCTTCTTCGCAGGGTTTACAGTTGTCAGCTAGTGGGGCAGTAAAGAGGGGATCATGCTCAACAAAATATGTCAGAAAGAAAAAGAAAAATACCGGATGGTCTCACTCATAGCAGAAATTTAGAAAACTTAAATAAAAGACCAGGAAAAAGACTAATCAATACAAAGTAAAAATCAAAATCAACAAGCAACTATAAACCAGAGACACACTACGGGGTGGGGATGGGAGGGAGGGGCAGGGAGAGGAAGGACTAGAGTCAAAATAAGGGGGTGGGGTGCAATTGTATGGGGAATATAAC